GAAACAAAAAATCCCAACTTCAAGTATATACTAATGGGGTTTGAACTTGGTGAGACTCAGGGAAAGAAACCTTGGACTGGTAGTGGATACCCTCAGTGAAAATGTTAACCTTTTTTTTCAATTTTTCCCATAGAAAAATTGGGCAATTTGGGATAGTACTGGGGGGAAAAACCCTCCTATGAAATATTTTCCCTTTTTCAGTAAGAAAAAATGTCTTACAAAGCATTGCACTCATTCCAGATGGACAACATGAAAAAGCCTGAAGACTTTCTTAATATTTCCACTGGAAAAATGGGGAAACTTTGGGGAGCACTGCTGGCAATCCTACCTATTGAATTATTAGGCATGTAAATGAGCAAAGCCTACTGAGGGGAAAATCAGCATGGTTTCTGCAGAGGAAAATCCTGCCTCATCAACTTTTTGAAATTCTTTGAGAAAGTGAAAAACAGCTACATAACAGTGACCCAATTGATATTATATACTTGAACTGTAAAAGTCTTTGGATAAGGTACCTCCTCAAAGACTCCTGAATAAACTTAAGCAGTCATGTGATAAGAGGATGGGTCCTCTTATGGATTAAAAATTGGTTAAATAACAGGAAGCAAAGAGTAGAAATAAATGGACAGTTCTCACAAAGGAGGTGAGTAAGCTGCTAGCAGCGGAATCCCACAAGGGGCCAGTGCTATTTCATTCATTCATAAATGATCTGGAACTGGGTGTCTTATAGTGGCCAGGTTTGCAGGCAATGTAAAATTATTCAGGATGGTGAACCAAGGCTGACTGTGAGTTGTTCCAGGAGGATCTCCACAAATTGGGTGAGTGGGTGACAGTATGACAAATGGTTCAATGTAGGTAAGTATAAGGTGATGCATTTATTTATTTATTTATACTTTTGATTTCTTATACCGCTCTAATCCCGAAGGTTCTCTGAGCGGTTTACATTGCAAATTACCAATTCTAACTAGGGCCACATAGTATTGGGGGGAGGTGAATACCTAACAGGCACCCTGCCGGTTCCTTGTCGATCTCCCAGTGGATCTCCTCTCCTTTGATTCTGTGCTGTAGGTGTCTTTTTGTTTTTGGCTTGGCTCCGCAGCAGCTCCTTCTGGGCAGTTTTGTTGCTTTGTGACTGTGTGACGGCCCCCTTTTCTCGGCCTCTGTCCTGATAGGCTCCAGCCGAGCTGTGAGAGTATGAGAGAGTTTCTGTCCAAGTAATACGTTCTTTTGCTTACTTACTGCAGAATTTGTTTCCAGTTTTTCCTCCCCATCTCTAAGATGGCAAATATGAAAGAAACAAGTGCTCTGATAGCACCGGGTACAGATAATTTGCAGCTCATTCTCAAGTATTGGGTATATTTGCAGTTTTTCTTATACAAAGTTTATTTCCTTTATTTATTTCTATGTCTCCTTTCTATCCCAGTAGATCTCCAAGGCCCAGGCTAGCCCAGTCTTGTCAGATCTTGGAAGCTAGGCAGGGTCAACCCGGGCTAGTATTTGGATGGGAGACCTCCAAGGAATGCCAGGAGCATGACGTGGAGGCAGCAAATTGGCAAACCACCTCTGAATGCCTCTTGCCTTGAAAAACTGTACAGGGTTGCTGTAACTTGATGGCGCTTTCCAGCGCCAGATCCCCAAGGCAGCAAATGTTTCAACATTTAAAATAGAGTATGCATAAAATATTTAAGCCATTCAATAAAAACACATAAATAGCAGACACACATAAAAAGACAAGGGAGTAAGAAAGGTTTGGGGTTTGCCAAACAAAATAGAACTGATCTTCACCCTTTGGCACAAGACAATAGTGGAAACAGATGAATCTCCTTGAAGAGGAAGTTCCAAAGTTTTGGTGCCACAACTAAGAGGGCCCTTTCTCAGGTTGCCACCTGCCTAGCCTCTGAAGGTGACCTGAGTAGATAAGTGGATCCATATGGGAGAAGGTTGTCCTTCAGGTCTGTTGGCCCCATAGTATATAGGCCACTACATCCCATTTCATTTAACATTCTGGTCACACCATTCTGTACCAACTGAGGCTTCCAGACAGTCTTCAAGGGCTTCTCTGTGCAGAGCACATTACAATAGTTTGATCTAGATATTACCAGGGCATATATCACAGTGACATGATCTTTCCCACCCAGGAAGGGATGCAGCTAGCTCACCATCCAAGGCTGATGAAAGGCATCCCTGGCCACTGCTGCCACCTGTTTGTCCAACAGGAGACCTAGGTCCAGCAGCACCCCAAGCTATGAATCTATTCCTTTATGGGGAATGGAACCTCATCCAGAACAGGAGTTATCCCAATTCCTGGGTCCTTTCCCCCACCAGTAGCTCCTCTGTTTTGTTGAGATTAAGATTCAGTTAGCTCACATCTGTTCCAAAGCTCCCTCCAGGCTACCTGTTCATGGTTTCTGTAACTTCCCTGGGATCTTCTGGAAGTGTGAGATAGAGCTGAGTGTTATCTGCATGTTGGTGGTAACTCAGCCCAAGTCTCCAGATGACCTTTCCCAGTGGGAAAGGCATGTTGAAAAGCATGGGGGTACAATATAAAACCCGGGGTCCCAGAGGTGGAGCAGCATTCCTTCAGCACTACACTCTGAAACCTGTCTTCAAGGTAGGTGTCACGGCAGGACCAGGGGGCGTGACACAAGCAAGCAAAAGTCCAGGAACAGTCCGAGGTCAAGCCGGGCAAACCAGGTAGCAAGGTTCAAGCAGGTTTAAATCACAGTCCAAAAGCAGGGTCAGACATACCAAAGTTTCAAGTCCATAAATCACAACAATACCAGAGGAGTCAGAGATGAACGCAGGGTCAACAAAGCCGAAGGTCAAAAGCCAAGGATCAAGCCGAGAAGAATTCCACAAGGTCTGGAGCAGAGATGCAAGGATTCAGGTCCTGAACAAATGACATTGCCAGCACAAATGACTGCTGGCAACAGACTTGCATATATACAGTGCTAGCTAATCAACTCATTAGCTAGCCAGGAGTGAGGACAGGATTCTGTCAGTAATCAGGGCTAAGAGATCTTCTGGCACGCATGCGTGCATTCTGCCTTCGCTCTCTCAGCTGTTGTCTTCTTACATTCCTGAGCCTGGTTACAGGTGGAGGCGAGTCTGATGATGAATTACTGGGCTGCAGCAGAGACTGATCCCTTGCAGGTGTTCCCTGGGAGGCTCTATCCTCCTCACCACTTAGATAGCTTTCAGCTACAGGATCCAGTCTTTGCCTTTCTGCTGCAGTACTGTCCTCAGGAGCCTGTTCAGCAAAGGCAGGCATGACATCAGCAGGGGCAGGCATGACAGTAGGATTGAAACCACTGTTGAACAGTGCTTCTCAGTCCCAACCCCGAAAGGTGGTCCAGAATAAACCATGATCAATGGTGTCAAAAGCTGCCGAGGAGTCCATGAGAATTAACAGGGTCACATTCCCTAACCATCTCTCAGCACAGGTCAAATTAAGATATGTTTCAATTCCTTAAATATGTCAAAAAGCACAATTTTAAATGCTGAGTTATAAAGAAGTTTGGGTTTGTAAAGTAAATATTGTAAATATTTATATTTTAAAAGTAAAGTAAATTTTGCATCTGTTTCCACTTTTAAGAACATAAGAGAAGTCAATGTTGGATTAGGCCAATGGCCCATCCAGTCCAACACTCTGTCACACAGTGGCCAAAAATACCAGGTGCCATCAGGAGGTCCAGCAGTGGGGCCAGGACACTAGAAGCCCTCCCACTATTGACCTCCCCAAGCACCAAGAACAGAGCACCACTTGCCCCAGAGTCCCTATCTATACCTTGTGGCTAATAGCCACCGATGGACCTCTGCTCCATATGCTTATGTAATTTTCTCTTGAAGCTGTCCATTCTTGTAGCCGCCACCACCTCCTGTGGCAGTGAATTCCATGTGTTAATCACACTTTGGGTGAAGAAGTACTTCCTTTTATCTGTTCTAACCCGGCCGCTCAGCAATTTCATGGAATGCCCATGGGTTCTTATATTGTGAGAAAGGGAGAAAATTACCTCTTTCTCTACCTGCTCTTTCCCATGCATAATCTTATAATCTTTTTTCTGGGGGGAGGAAAACAAAACTGAAAGATTCCACCCCATTCCAAAGTTTCCAGAAAATTTTCATCTCGAGACACAATTAACATGATTGTTGGATCTTAGGTTTTTAAGATCCTGAATTTTGTTTAGTTAGTATTACTTACTGATAAGGGAGTGTAATGTGCCATACCAAAGACTTGGTTTTGTATTCTTCAGTGGCAGTAGGGAAGAAACTTTTTGACAGTAGAAAGCACAGATAATCAAGGGATTGATAAAGTCTGGTACATATTAGTAGATTGGTTAATCTGTGGACCAAATTTTCATGCTTAAAAATGGTTTAAATATTATTCTGAAAATAAGGCTATAGGATAAGAAAAACAACGATGTTCTGTTTCATTAGACATTTATGTGGTGTCAGAAGTGGTACAAGGATTGTGCAGATTTACCAGAGTTCTTGAAAATAGTCTCAGGACTTTCCAAAAGTCTCTAATTTTTTGTTTCCTTTCCTCACAGATGTTTCAGTCGCTAAGCAAGTCAACAGGGTAAGTGCCGTAAAGTTGTATGTCTGTTCCATAGCATTGAAAGAGCATTGCAGTGTCTCTGTTCATTTGAGATGACTCTTCTGATTCTCTGCACTTTGTTCAGTGAATGGGGTCTGGAAAAGTTGCTGGTTAATAATAATGCAACTCAGTGACAGTAAACAACAATATTCAGATCATTTGGTTGTAGGTTAGGAGACAACTACACAGCATATTGTAGTCATATATAATGAATTTCTTACTGCCCCTGCTTCTTTGCAAATTTCGATTGGAGATGGGAACAGACATAACTGAGTACTTAACTGGCCAACTTTCATCATAAATTCCCCATCCTAGCTGCTCTTGTTCCTTTTATTATTTTGAACCTTTGTTTACCTTACAAACATTTGTCAAATCATCCCCTCCCAACAGTGTTTAGCAAGAGAGCAGGAGCCATCAGGTAAAGTTCTACATGACTACAATTCAATGTGCATTTTATGGCCTACTTGTCAGACTTCCCCACAGCATCAACGAAGTACACACTTGTAGAAAGGTTTTACTTTATTTGAAGCTATAGGTGCATAGACAGGATCACTGTTCGGAATGAGGGGGGGAGCAAAGAGCATGGCATGTTATAGTACATTCAAACCACTGAGGCCCAATTGCGGGAGTTTCCACGTGCGCCATCGGGCCTGGGAGCAGACGCTTCTAGGCAGCACACGTTATCTCTTTCTCCTCCAAGCAACTAACGAGCAGCAGCAACCACCTGTGGCCTTGAGAGATATAAACGTTTCGGCAGCTAAGCAATTAAGCGCATCAACAGGTCTACAGTGGAAAGTGAAAACACGCAAACGCATATAGAAGGAGGAAAACAAAACATTGGCAGCTTGCTGACACTACTACAGAGTGGTCCAGCCTGACAGTTAAGATCTTCTCCATCACTTCTTTTTATGTCACTGCCTGTAGAGGTCAGGTGGATGTTAAACAGAGATGGGACTTTTCAGTGTTGGCATTGCACCTTATGAATGGTGGCAACTCACCTGGTATGTGCTCTACCCCCTTTTATGGGCTAGGCCAAAACACTTCTTTATACCCAGACTTTCAAATAAGAGTCTACCTTTTAAAGTAGTTTTTATATGGCCTGCTTCTAGTCTTAAGACTGCTTGATTAATTTCTTTTTCAATTGGTACAATTTTATATCCTGGTTTGTTTTAATGACCTGTTCTTGTAGCCTGTTTTTAATGGCTGTTTTTATTGTTTGTGTTGTTGTTTTTATAATTTTATCGTATTATTTTGTGAGCTGCCCAGAGCAGGTCTCCGGTGAGGCAGTATATAAATTTTCTAAATAAACAATAAATAATGTATAAAGATTTGTTCACTTAGGTGGAATTGTGCTCCTGTCAGACTCAGGCATTTTGAACAACTGTTATCTGATGTATTTCGACCTAGTGTAGTCACACCTGATAAGTTTCAGCTCAATGTAATCATGCCCTGTGTATCCTGTCTACTCCCTGCTCCTAACCATTTGTTATTCTTACATTCTTATTGCTTGCCCTCGCCTGCCATTTCATTCCTGGGGGGAGGGAGTGAGTGCCTGAGTTTAGAGAGGCCAGCTTTGGTAATTCTTCCCATGGCACCTCAAGAGACAAGTGAGTGAGTGCCTGTAGTTTAGTGAGGCCAGCTTTGGTAAATCTTCCCATGGCACCTCAAGAGACATTGTTTCACACGGGAGATGTCCTTGAAGTAGAGTCTGTGGTTGGCTAGTGATGGACCGTATATCTCTCATGGTCTTTGTAGTAGAGATGACGTGTATGAATGGAATGTTGGGATTGTAACTATATTCTGTTTTCCCGCCTTTGTACCCCAGTCCTGACAAAGGGTTTGAACCCATGAACATCTCAAATCTCTAAATAAACCTTTCCTTATAGAAAGTGTGTGTGGAGAGTGATTTGACTGGGAACCTGACAGCTCCAGGGTCACCTGAGCATAAAATAATTTGAGTGTAAAAGTGAATGTAAATATTTGCCTAACTGCCAAAGATTTAGCATTTCCAGAGTGCTCATGCAGTTATGTACTGAATTGCTTCTGACTATACTATATATGGAGCCACAATGGCTCAGAGGTTAAGATGCTGACCTGCAGACCGGAAGGTCAGTAGCTCGGCAGTTTGAGACCCTAGTGCTGTGTGACGAAGTGAACTCCCATCTCTGGCCCCAGATCCTGCCAACCTTGAAAGCAAGAAATTGCAAGTAGATAAATAGGTACCGCTTCGGTGGAAAGGTAACAACATTCTGTGTTCCTCAGCATTTAGTCATGCTGGCCACGTGACCACAGAAACATCTTCGGACAGTGCTGGGTCTTCGACTTGGAAATAGAGATGAGCACTGCCCCCTAGAGTCGGAGTTGACTGGCTTTCGAGCAAGGGAAACCTTTACCTTTACCTTATACTATATATGCAAGCCAATCAATCTATTTGTAGAATAGTAAGGTCATGGTCATTACTTCTGTGCCACATTGGGGCACTACACAGGTGCAAGCTGTCTGTGGAGAAGTTTCTCCCCTGCCATCTGTCTTTTCTCCCCTTTTGTCATGTGATTGGGAAGGCCCAGCACCCAGTCCCTCAGTTCTCTGCCACTACAGAGAGAGGATCTCTTGCTGTTGTCTGACTCTTCACCTTTAAAGAAGACAATGCAGAAATGATTTCTTAGATAAGCTGGAAATAATTTTGTTAGGTTACTATTTGGCTGGGGTGGCCCAGAAGGCTCTGTTTAAAAAATGCACCAGCTGCAGCACTAAAATGCCCCTGACAACTAGTCTGTGTCTCATCTTCCTGGAGGAGTCTTTATCTGTCAGCAGTTTACCCCAAGGCATGCATCTCACATCTCACTGTGACTCTTTGGGAAAAGATCTTGGCGGACACCAACACTCAAGCTCCCTAGGGGCCCATCAGAGGCTCCCTCCATCCTTTCAAGGCTCCATCAGTTTCATAGGTTCTTGAATTTGAAATTATCTGTTCCATCTGTATGCTCAGTGTCTTCATCACATGAGATTCATAGGAGTAATTAGAACCCCTGTCTGAAAAATCTAATTTGATGCATAAGGAGATACCTTCCCAAATTTTAGCTCTGTCCTTGTGTGCACAAGCTCTGGTTTCCACTGCTGTATTTGATAGTACTACTGTCCTTGAATGGATATATGACCTCATTCTGCCACTTCAGTCTCCTTTCCTGCATCTGGAGGATTTCAAACCCCTTTTTGAGGTGAAGTCAAACAGGATCCCTCTCTGGTGCCTGTTCATCCTGTTTAACTATCCAAAAAATGCCACCATGAGTCTTTTGATGTGTTAGCTCCTAATAGGAATTTTGGCACTTTTTGTTGCTTATAAGTGGGTTGACTAAACTTCACCAACCTTGGTTACCTTTTTCTGCTCCCCCATGGGTTCATTCTGTGATGAACCTATGGATCTCCATTCCATATCTGATTTTCATAGGCACTTTTCCATGCACCCTCTGACAGGTCCTTGTTTGGTCCTTCTGAATCATATCCAGCGTCATTGTGTGGTTTGTGATACTTCTTTCACAGAATCCAGTTAATCATCATGGTCACATTGTAGTCACATATGGGTACTGTGCATGCACAGGCCTGCCACGGAGAATGTAAAAGCTCCTAAAGATATGTGAGGTGCTCTCCCCTCCCCGTACCAACCTTCTACCTTTTTTTGGCATGAAAAGGGGGGGGGGATGATGTGTCTTTCTGTTCTGCTGTGGAGACAGGAAGCTTTTTTCTGTAGCTCCAGTATTCTTGCCTTTAGACAAACCTTGTTTTTCCAGATAAATAGGAACACATTTTTCCTTTTTTTTGTCACCAAGCCTTTAAGACTTTTGAAATTGGTGCACATTTAGCTGGACTCTGTGAGGTTGCCCTTTCCCCCCTTGCACTGCATGATGTTTTCTCACTGTCTTCAGCACAGGCCGGATGTGCTCCCATCTGGGAAAGACCCATTAGGAGCTTGGCCACTGCATTCTGTACCAGCTGCAGCTTCCAAATTTGTGACAAGGGCAGTCCCATGTAGAGAGTGTTACAGTACTCTAGTCTCAAGGTGACCATCCCATGGATCACTATTGTCAGGCCATTGCGGTCAAGGAAGGGAACCAACTGCCTAATCAGCCAAAGATAGTAAAAGGCTGACCTAGCAGTGGCTGCTACCTGGGCCTCCATTGTTAAGGAGGCATCCAGGAGTACTCCCAAGTAGAGATGTAAAATTTCCGGATCTCTCCATCCCATGTGATGCTAGTTCTAAACTGCTTTTGGAGCCAGCTCTGGATAATGCCACTCTCATTTTTTAATCTGTGTCTCTGCTTGGAACAAATGTTGCATACAGCAAAGTCTCCAGATTTTTAATTATGGTTTATTAGTTTGCCTTCACATCTCAGTCCCTTTAGTGCAGGTGTGAAGAAATGCATTTTTTTCTTTAGAGGTTTGAAATGAGCAAAACCTTCACTCTGAGTTTTAAAAGGTTTTTTCCCTCTCTAGGCAGAGAACAGGCAGGAAGGGGAGAAGTCAGTTCAGTTGCTTTCCAGACTTACTTCAGCCTATCTTCATACAAATGCTAATAGGTCTAGACAATGGGATGGTCAAGCTCTCCTGCCCCCTCCTCCCCAAGCAGGGAACAGAGATTGGGAGGAATTAAGACTAGAGAGACTTCAGGAAGGAAGGAACTGGAGATCTCCAGGAAAAGCCTCTTTGACTCGGGTTGACCTGGTCAGTGGGTGGGGGAAAGAGAGAAGATAAAACTCAGGGAAGCGAGGAGGAAGCTCTTTGGTGCTGAGTCCATCAGAGCAGACAGAACTGTTAACTGAGGTCTGGAGGAGGCAGCCATTACCATGTGCTGGCCTGAAGAGCTGGAGAAAGCTGCAAGGTAATGGTAACTCTGTAGAAATCTATAAAAACCTAAGGTAAGAAGCCTGTCCTATATTTTAACATCTGATAGGGCATGTATAGAGAGAGGGACAGAGAAATGGTGT